CTCCAATTTTTGTGCAAAAAACAAAATCTTGAATAACCCTATACATAAAGCTATACATATGTAACTGCCGTGTGCTTAGTAAAAAATTAGAGTTTGATTTAGATTTACGTAGCAGATGTGTGTTTACGTTTTTGTTTTGCTTTAAAAATCTAAAGCTTGACTTAGTTACTTGAAGGTTTCTTTGAAAGGATTACATAACGAGCCCCGCAGTGAAACGAACGCAAAAAAAAAAAAAAAATTTTTCGAAAAATATATATAGAAGTAACAGCAGATACTCTGGATAGCACAGCTAGCAAATAAACAACTACCACAACTTATTTACAGAATTCTACGTAGACATATTTATACATATATATATATATATATATATGTACGTATAAAGATATATATGGTCTACAAGGATTTCTCTTGAAGTTAATGTTAATTTTTGGCTTTTGCTTTGACCAATATTGCAGCATAAAGTGGAGTTTAAGAAAAAAATGTCGAAAAAAAAAATGAGTTCACTTCAACTAGATTTTGTAAAAAACTTCGTTTCGTAATTAAAGCAAGTTTTTTATTTATTTTTTCTTTAACGATGGAGTTATATTAATTACTTCACTCGATTTGATACATCCAAGAATAATCCGTAAGAAAGACATCATAGAAAAAATATTAATATTTTGATCAATCTAGTCATGACTTAAGTCCTACCTCTACGGGCATTTTTCACTTTTATGAAAAGAAAGAAAAAGCAAATTACGCGCATACATACTCATATCGAAAAGCACGGAAAATTGAAACTTAGCGTCACTTTCGTCGTACGACGCGTAAAACACATCAACTTAAGATCTGACATTAGTATTCATTGGGACTCTGTAAATATCTTATCGTAGAGCTATGTTGTTTGATAAGTAAACAACAATGGTACAATGCATATCTAAGATCGGCCTGAATTCAAGATAACCCTACGTTTATTTTTTACTTGCTCTCAGTCTTCTCTAACTCTTCTTCCAGATATTCCAATAAAACAATTCGAATATTTCGGGAGGAAAGGACTAAAACTTAGAACGCTGAGATCAATTTCAATAACATCTTTAGTCTAAAATTAATCTAAACGCGGCTAACAACTTTGGAAGAAGCGAAATAAAAACTTGAAACAATTTTTCAATAATGAAAAAGATATCTAGGAAAATTGGCTTTCATTGGCTTTCATCAACTATTTCTTTTGTCGTCCAATGTCGTTGTCGCAGGAACTTATCCTTCACATTTGAAAATAAAATATATGAAACAAGTAAAAACACTACAGTGGATACCGGCCCGCAAATAAATCCTCTACAGTACTGCACAGTTTTTCATGTATCGATTTTTCAAAATAATACATTATATGGGTAGTAGTCGAAAAAGTGGTTCACTCCGAACCATCTTAGATGAATGGATAGATCGTTCTTGAATCAAAGCGCGTCACTGTACCAAATTTGATCAAAATATCTCAAAAACTGCTAACTATAGGTTGAACATGAAAAAACCAGACGGACATATGGACAGACAATCTTTTCTGGGAAAGTGATTCAGAATAAATCGATATAATAAAATGTGAGCATCTCATGTCCTGCTATCCTTTGCATACATTCACCTGAACTTGCACTACATACTTTATAGGGTCTCCATAAAGAAGAAACTCAAGCAAGATTAACTGTTACATGCCCTACACCGGTTCGCCTAATATAATCATCATTAATTTTTGGCTCATGAAATTACGATTGTATTCATTAATTTATCAGTACCCAGTGATTGTCATCGTAGAAATGCGAGCGAAACCGTTGCACAAAAATACTAACAAGCAGACTTCATCCTTAAGTTGAAATGAAATTTTCAAAACGATTAAGGGAACTCGGCTAGCCTTGTTTTCGGGTGAAGGAGAAGATAATAAAATAAAAATATTCGAGGAAGACGCGTCTTTGACGTGCTATATGTTAATAAAAAAATAAATAAATAAATAAAAAACAAAATAATTAGATCCGCCTGAGTGGCCGAGTGGGCAAAACTAGCAATTCAATGATCGTGGGTTGAAATCTCAAGTGCGGTAGAGTTTCTCATAAAACCGAAAGCCTTAGATGCTAGTGTTTTAAGACTTTTAGTCTTGGAATTTATTCTCTGGCTAAATTTATAATAATAATAATAATAAAAATGTACAATATTTTATAAATTTATAAATGAAAAAATCCTTCTACTTTTAGGTTATGGAAATGCGTGTCGGCAATCAGATTCATATTGGTCTTTTTAAGCTGTACGAATGTGAGAAAAGAGCGATCTTAACGTACCTTTCGATGAGAGCACAATTAGCGAAAGTCGTTTAAGAAAGCCTGATACCTATGCACCAACCTATTATGTAAAATGATTTTCGAACAAATCTACGTCAAAGGCATAATTTTCTCTCGTGACATCACGATTTCGATATGAATTATACATGCTCTTGCGGCGCGTTCTTTCTCAGTTTGTTTGTGGAGAATTCTACTTCGGGGAGAAGAGTAAGTGTAAGAAACATCTCTAGGGCATTCCGAAATTTTAAACCGGGTTTGACTAATTCGAACAATTTTCATTTGCTTCATTTGAATTTTTTACAATATATTTTAAATTATTCTAAAATTCTAAAGAGAAATAAGTAAAATATTTTTAACAAGTTTACATAATTTAGGTTTAAGTTATTATAAAAGAATTTGCTTTTCTTTTCATACTTAAAGTAGTTGCCACTCAAACAGAACTCATTACTTAAAAAAAGCGTAAAACGTGTACATGTTCCTCTAGCTAGAGATTAGACTGAAAGAGAATAGATTAAATAATTCTTTTCTATCAGATTCAAATTAGGATCACCTACACAGTATGCTGTAGATATGATGAGACTAGAAATGCCTTGAAAAAAGAATTCCCGTCCTGTCGTTGTTTAAAATATTTAATAAATGCTTTCTTTTTTTTTTTTATAAATTTTCAAAAAAAAAAAAGAGATTTTTCGAAAGAAGTGCAACAGAGTAATAATCTTTCAAAGAACAAATTATTTAAGAAAAATTTTTTAAAAATGGCAACATCACTGCAGTCACTCACTGCCAACATCTTTAGCTCAAGGGGCTTTATGGAACGGAGTGTAATTGCTTACAGCTCAAGATCGAAGTGCAATCTCACGGGCAACTATTCTTTCTAATTCCCTCGATGGTCTTTTGTTTCCAAGCGTCTTTTTTGCTTGCTGCATCAGCCACTTTATGTGCTACGAAGCAATGGAGAAATAGGGAAAGTAGCGAAATAGTTTATTTAATAATCAAAGTCGTAATTAACACCAGATATGCGATCCTAAAATTTGAATTTGTTTGACCTAAGCTGACTGAAAGAATGAAGATAAACATATATTCTAAAGACATCTATCTATCGGTGTTCTAGATATATAAAAAGTTATCAGATAAGACGTTTGAGTGTAATCTCTCAGGAAGAGCTCGTTTGACCCATAGACGTGCAGTGCTTCGAAAAAAAAAGGAAAATTTTAAGGCAAAAATTTACTTCAAGATTCAAACCATCTACTTAGTAACCGCTAAGCCGATTAAGAATACGTAAATTTTCTAACAAATCTAGAATATTCTCCTTCCTTAGGCACAATACACAATAAATACCATTCGCATGCGAAAATGTTACGAACACACATATCTAAGAAAATTTGCTAAGCGGATTGACAGGATCGCGCTTATATCAACACTAAGACTTCGGGACATAGGAATACGTCCCTCGTATCTGCCATGTAAATAACTCTCCCAAACTATTTGAAGGCATGAAGGACAAGTATTGCTCCTAAAAATTCTGATACCTACCATGCATTCATAAATAATTCTTATATAATTTATGCTGGCAGGTCGTGAGTATAGTTTTCAAATTTTCGAAAAACAAATAAATGGATGAACATATTTATTTAATATTAAAGCAAATTCATTTAATTGACTCACCGCCAAGTATAAGCTAACATGACGCGTTCGATTGAAAGTCGATATATATCAAACTTTTGAATGAAAAATATCATTGCGTGGATTACTAACGTGTCGGCCGTATAAGAGATATTAGACGATTTTGATGAGTTTTATAACAAATAATATGCAAATGCTGAGTATTTAAGCTTCGCCGCATTGCGACTACCACTGCCTTACTTGTTTTTTTTTTTTTTTTCTTTTCTCTAATTTTTCAAATTTAAATTTGTCGTAATACTGGCACAATTGCACGCGATTCGAGTTAATCGATATATACAAAAAAAAAAAAAAAACAATCAGAAATATCATTAGCTTAATTTGCACAACGTGTGCAGATAACGTGAAACCAAAAATTCCCTTGAGATGAAATAGCCAGAAAAAATTAAGTTTGCCCCGATCTTTTAATATTCTACATAATAATTATGGAATATGTTCAAGATGAGCGTCGAAAAAAAAAATTTGCGATATAGCAAGCAAGAGTTTCGAATCCGTTCCATTCTTTTGAAACACTGAAGCGGCCTGCTAAGGAACCTTCATCAGATGCGTTACTTATAACATTTGCTATATTTCGATATTTATTTCGAATCAATTAAAAAATTTATTTTTTACTAACAACAACAAACAATATCGGTTAACAGTTCGGATGCGCTTTGAGAACGCCTTAGTTTGATCTCATTGCAAATTATTCTTCTTCTCTTTTTAAAATCATTGTAAGAGCGCTGGCTCTCTTTCAGATCAATTTGAAAATTCGATAGCGTTAATCCATTACATTTTATCGATTTTATCGTCATTGATAAGGAAGAGATTAATATTCTTTAGACGACCAAATGATCGTAGGGTGCAAAAAAAAAATAAATAATATCACTGACTGAATTGGAAAAAGTAACAGACATCTGAATACCATTTAAAGAGATCATCAGCATTCAAGTGGAAAATTTTTTCAATTATTATTTATACCAAGAAGTAAAAGAAAAAAATGTAGTGATTGATTGTATTATTATTTTATCTAAAGTTTTTGTGGTTTTCCGCCATCACTTCAACCTTATAAATAATGACGAATAATGTGCAAAAATTAATATTTCATCTTTTCATAACGACCATAACAAGAAAGATAAACGGATCAAAATAACCATGAAAACCTTTAAGCATACGCGAAAATATTCATTAGTTACAACTAAAGATATTCATAAAAATTTATCATTTAATTATCAATACAATTCCCGTTATCAATATCGGCAGCATAAACGTTTTCAAACGCGGCGAATAGATTTACGATTCGTTTTACAATCGCTGTTTTTCTTATTTTGCGTCAATATATTACCGTTATGTTCTGGTGTCGGTTATTCATATACGCGTTTTGTCGGCCCTGTCAGGGGTCCCGAGCAAGTTTACGTAACCGATGATCCAGTCAGTGGACGTCAACATTTGGATTATATAGCTAAGCCGGAATATGAATTTTCGTACGGCGTCGAAGATACTGAAGCTCGGATTCTTCATAATCGCAACGAGATACGTGATGGTGACGACGTTAAAGGAGTTTACAGGTAAACCACTAAATAGTGTACAAAACAGTATAAAAAGGAAAAGCTTTACAGGTTTTTCTAATACCGTATATATCTACACTTGAAGAAAAACTGCATACAAACTGTCATAGCGATGAAAGTTTATTCAATTACAAGAAAGTTAATTGCAATTGCATACTGACTTGAAAGGAACGTACAACATAGAAGCTGAAGAAATGCCCCTTCTTCCCGGACACTCTTCAGATTCTAAACCCTGACTTCTCTTTTTAAGAGCTATTTCCACTCTAAGTGCTATTAAATCAATCGTCGCGGTTTCTGTACTTGGATTAAATGATTATTCAACTAATAGTCGCGTAGACTTCCTTCAACATTTATTGGCAAAGCATAAAACATTTTCTTAAGCAAGTCTTGCCAACTAATCAAGCTAATGAAATGATGGCTCAGATTCGCTGACGGCCCATCTCTGATTTGTTTCTAGATTATAGATAGATTCAACGGATTGAAATTAAATTAAATTTTCTCACTCAGACATTTTCGATCTGCACATTCTCACTGAGGGAACTTTTCCTATTAGCGAGATTTATTTGCCTAATTGGTTACGAATTTTTTTCATTTAAAGTAATTAAAAGTTAAATGAAGAAAGTGAACTTTGGTGAACGTCTTTAGCATAATTAGTAAAAATATTTCTTTCATTAATATTTAGTTTAGTGGACCCGGATGGTACCTTACGCGTAGTTAGGTACACGGCGGACAATGTTAATGGGTTTAAGGCTGAGGTTATCACGAATGGATTGTCAACAATACATGGTGCGCAGCTATCACCTTTTCCATCACTTTCACCCTCCCCATCGCCTACACCGTCACAACCGCCTACACCCTCCGTTAATGTCTATCATCCAGTATTGGGTTTGAATCCAGACTTGCAGCGTTTTGTAAATCCATCGTATTCAAATCAAAGACCACAACCGCAACAACATCGACCACAATTGCCACCAACGTTACTGCCAGTAACTTTTCATCCTTCACCAACGCCGCAATTATATCATAAAATCAATCAGAATACGGAACACAAAGAATACAGACCGCAATATAAAGTTCATGAAAGTGAAGAAGAAGACGACGACGATAGTGATGATTCCGGTCAGAAGGGAGGCAAACAAAAGAAAAAGAAAGAGGAAGATGGCGATGGCGATGACGATGACGATGGCAGTGATGATGAGCAGCACGATTATAATTCTGAAGAAGACGATGATGTCGAAGACTATGATGAGAATGTTAAGAAAAATATTGCCTATCAAGGGGAAGAAAATGATGAAGATTATTGAAAATTAAAGAAAAATTAAATTTACATTCCTTAAATAAATTCAGGAAAATTAAAATGAAATTATTTTTAAAACTAAACTATAAACAGAAGCGTCATATACAGGTTTATCTGGTAATTTTTTATATCAAGAAATGCTTTTCATTTCAATTTAAGTGAAATGAAAAATCCAATTAAACGGCGGTCATTCACTCCCTGAGCTATTACATGAATACCTCTTATTACAATTTCGTTGCCCATTACTAACTGTCTCATATGTAGACCAAGCGATCAACTAACTTGCTAACATTAGTACGACTACATATTGTCGTACGGTATGGAGGGGCGATCAACATATTCCCCTTAGTCTAGTTTTTCCAGTTTTTATAGTGCAAATGAAAAAAAAAAAGGTTTTCTATAAAAAGAAAAATAGTCACATGTCTTAAAAAAATATTAAGCGAACAAATAAACAAAAAAAAAAAAAAAGCGAATGAAATTAGGTCAGTAATACAACATGAAATAGTGCTTATATTAACATATATACATATACACACACAGTAATTGAACAAACACTATACTAAACTTATTTTGTTTTGTTTTGTTTTGTTTTGCTTTGCTTTGCCTTGCTTTGCTTTAATTGACGGCTTTATCCACTTGATTAAAGTCTTTCAGAATTTTTCAGAACAAGAACGCAAATTTTTGTATAAAAATTATCGATTGATTTATGCATAAGTTTTAAAACGTCAGTATCCATTCGGCATTAGAAGAGTACAACTCCGAATTGATTACTCATGAAAACAGGGCATAGTCCACCGACAATCATGTCTATATAAGAAGAAAAGGAGTAAAAGGCAATAATCTGAAATCTTAGGCAGCAACTTAGTAAGTCCAACAAAAACACCTTGTGTTCATTTGAATACTTTCTGCGTACAATCAGTGAATAGCTTCGACATATAACAAATTCCGTAAGGTGGAATTCACTGGAAAGTATACTTTTACACGACATCGTCAAAACGATTTAAAAAGAAAAACTATTTTATAATAACATCGCAGAAGACAACATTCCAGATTTGTATGTACTCGATTTCTATGCAATATATCTACCATTCAAGGACGGAGCTAAAGTTAACTTGATTTTCTGCTTTCAATCCTCAGAAATATCGCGTCGACATTCCATTTAATGTAAAAAAATCGTGATCTTCATACAATTCGAACACTCTTTACGAGTCTCTCTATGCTTCTGCCCATATTTTGCAGCAAGATTGCGGTCGAAAGAACTTAAATAGAAAAATCGGCATTTCTTCTTCAAATATTAATCTAAAAGTGTACGCAAACTTGACATATAAAGACTAAATTTAAGGCTAAAGAAAGGAAAGCTTTCTTTTCCCTTCATCTTTCACTCGTACCACTAAATATTGATGTAGGTAGAGAGAGAGAGAGAGAGATAGAGAGGCGTCGGATATATTGTACAAAACCTAATGATGACGGCTTACTTGACTGGTCATAGCAACACCGGAGCTTTTGACCAACCAACTATTGAACAATTATATTGTAGACATTAGATCACTTGTTAGTGCTATTGATGACGTGTCGTAATCATCTTAACGATGGGAGCACAAATCAATTACATATAACTTGGTATGGGAAAATTGTTTTTTTTTTTTTTTTTTTTAACTCTTTGTCCGTATTTCTTCTGTTTACCAGTTTTTATTTATTTATTTATTTCATTGTTGTTGTTTTTAGTTTTTATGGTGATACGTGCAGTCATTTAAATCTCGTCTGATCACTTTAAATTAAAAGAATTTTTTTTTTGGTCATTTTATTTACAGTAATTGATTTTTTCAAAAGTAATTTTGAAAAGTTTGAAATATTTGAAAAATTTCGTTATATTACAGTGCCCAGGTATTTAAAAATTAAATATTAAAAATTTTTAATGATCGAATAAATAGAAAATTGAGGTTAGAATGCAAATTTATTTATTTATATATAAGTTGAGATGTACTATGCATAAATTGTAATTGAAAGCAACTAATAGAAGAAAAAACATAAGAAAGTATTTTTGTGCAAAACTTAGGGGCGCGGCTGGCATTGAAGACACACTTTCGTCCATCTCTCCGTTTGCGCATTTTTGTAATGTCTGACAACATTGAGCAACATCGAAACCTCTTGTACGCAGATTGATATTGAAAGTGGGCAAAATCGGTGGAAGGATATGGCTGCAGCATCACGTAAACTGGAAACGCCTTTGTCGTTTAAATGGAATAAAAAATTTTATTCAATTTTTATTCAATACTACAACCACAACTACAAAACAGTTACACGTATAACAGCATAAGTAAAAGTATATTCGATGGGCGATGCTGTAGCATCATGTAGTACTGAAATCGGAAAAAGTGACCGTGTCTACCCGATATTATAGTGTAACAGAATTCAAATTTTTTTCCCATACCTCTATAACGGGGGAGAGAAGTAAGCTTCATAACCCCCTTAAAGTATATGATTGCTTAGTCAGTTTTAAATTCGGAATGCAACTAAGCATGTCCATCTGTCCGTCTGCCCGATTATGTAGTATCTGTGATTAACATACTTGCCTTTACAAAAATGAAAATGTTGCCAACAAAATTTGCAAAGGAATTTAAAAACGACGCCAATCAGTCAAAGGACACGCCTACAATGCCCACAGGTCTATGCAACAAAAACGATGAACACTTTTGCTTTCCGCGCTTTTTGTTTTTATTACTCGCAAAGTGCAACCATATAAATTTCCATTTTTATCTGCCGCACCCACGCAATATTATAGAGTATGAAAATGCAGTATAGCGATTAAAAGATTCCGCCCGACCGCTTGTAATTTTCTTACTTATTTCGTTTGTTTAGGTAAATGTCACGTGAATGATTCGTGACTATTAAGACGGGGTCTGAACTTCTTTTTGAAATTTAAATTCTATCCAACGAAGAGGTAAGATCTCTGCTCTATTGCCTATGAGAAGACTTAATTTTTTATCGTTAACAAAAATGAATTGTGATGAGAAATGTTCCCGGCATTCTATGTCGCCGCTTCGGTAAGTTTCGGCTTAGTTTGTTTGGTCTTCTTGAGGGCATGGTTGTCCATATTTTCTAGTTTTGTTATTGAGCATAAACTAATAATGTCTGCATACCCAAGAGAAGGTTCTGCTTCTAGTGAAACCTTTGCATCTGAATTACTTATCCATATTTCTTATTAAAGCACAAATATCTGTAGTAAGTTTATGAAAACTTTGACATGTGCTTGTAGTTAGTAAGAATAGTCTTTCCAACATTCGTTTCAGTCAATTCATATGCGTTCGAGAATACAAAAATAGATTTCGCTTTTCTTGAAAAAAAAAATAAAACAAAAAACAAAAGGATACTTTCCGTTGTACAGCACTTCCCAAATCCATCTATGGTCTACTAATTTTAGAAAACTAGAAGCATCGTTGTTTTTTTGTTTTTTTCATAATCAAACGACAAAATTATGAAAGTTTGCGATCTCCAATCTCGAATTGGAGTCGAAGGTAGAGTACCTCGGTTTTCTCTCTCGGTAGGAGAAATACATGTTTAAGAGATACATATATAAGTGTTGTGGCAACAGTACAAGTTTGCCTTAGTATTAATATATATACCTCGCTGGAGACTTTCTTTTCGCTGAAAATTGAATTTCAAAATTTATAACACTTTACGTTCATGCCTGTGGCCAATTTGTTCAAAAGTGGCCTCTCGCAAAACAATTCGAAGATTTTAAGTCGAATCTTCGAATTTTTACATGAGTGAGATACGCAACATCTTGTGTATAAAGGAGGCAGAGAAAATGTGCAAAACAATATATAAAATAAATAGGTTCACGTTAATATTTCTATTAATAATTATATTTGACTTGAAGGTCGTAACTTCATATTTCATTTGCTACACAGATATGATTCAGCTACAGTTTCGACTTAGCTTAACTTAAGCTATGCATTAATATTAAAGACTTAACCTAGTGTAGATGAAACAAGAAGAAGAACAAAAAAATTATGTAATTAAAGAAATATTAGATCTAATAATGAAAGTCAGGACACCACCAATGCATTCAAAAGCCAAATCAGTCAACGTTGAGATTGTACAATGCAGGAAGTTATTTCAATGCAAACATGCCACCACATAAACTAATCGATTTCGTTTCAGTACAACATCGGTAATACGCGGACGTTAAGAATAATAGCTTTTGGGGTCTGCTAAAGAAATTAGATTAAAAAATTCATAGTTGAATTATGCATTGGCTAAGGATTACAAAAAGTATGTTCCCTGACGGAATTTCGGGAAGTCAATGAAAGTCAATGTCATGAAGCAAAACCGGCGAGTCGATAACAACTTAATCAAGAAGACAATGCATAAGACAAACTTACATTATTCCAGGTAAAGAGAGCGACATAAGTAATAATCTATTTTTGTACGGTGAAAGATGGAGAGATCAGAGTCTTGGCCTAAATGTCATACCACAAAAAGCAGGAACTGTTTTGGTATGAATTCAATTGAATTAAGATGACGTCGATAACACACTTATCGCAAGTTTATTTTGCATTGACACAGTATTTGACCAATGGCTTGATACTAAGGATAATTGCATGCAAAGTTTTCCAATCTTCCTCACATACATATGTTTCAACACTAAATTCCCCTAAACTGCACTAGAAAATTGAAACTTACATGCAATGACATATACAAATATTCTCACTTGATTACCTTAAATACAGATTGAGAAAATTTAAATTCGTAACGGATATTATTCAAAAGCTTGGACTATACAATTAATGGGATCTTTTAAGAGGTCAGCGCAAAAATCAACGAGAAAGCTACATATTCAAAACGTGATACAAACACTTCTTGCGAAAGGTCTAAGAGTTACATGCACAAAGAATTCCAGCTGAACAACTGATACCATACCGTGTTTAAAATCATTTGAATGACGCTAAAATCGAAAAATTTTTTTTCCAGGTAAATGGATTGTGAACCAGTGAAAATTTTCCT